AACACAATGTGATGTTTATTTTGTAAATTATTTTCTGAATCAGTGTCGGGAAGGATGGTAAAGCAGGGTTGGGTGGGCGTACATTGGGACTGACAAGTTGGTACCATAAAAGCACACAGGCTCTAAGTCAGATCCTCCCCCTTCAAATTAGACCTTCAAAAACAGAGCTTCACAAACCAATGGATAATGTCACATTGACTACGCCTGTCTTCATATACCCTGTAAGATTGTGACTCACGTATCCCAAATTTTCGCCAGGCACAGTGATAGTCTGTGATTCTGATTGAGTTTGAGTCGTGTATGGGTTTTTGCTCCGTCTTGTCTGTTCGGCTTCGATACACACCGCTGCTCGCGCTAAATACACTGTTTTCTTCCATTTCCCCCCCAACTGCTGTTCCTGCCACAAATATGAAAACAAACAACACTTCGAGTTCACCACAGGCTCTTTCCCAGGACAGATCCTGGTGTTTAAAAGAGCAAATATAAATGATTTCATACAGTCTGGTGCCTCTCAGCTGTTGTAAAAATCAATGTAATCCTCCACCCTTCAAGAGGTTTTGCCTAATTTTGCTAGGCTACAGCTGTGTTCACAGTTATTCTTTTGTTGCTTTATTCTGTCTTTCCTTTGGGTTGGGGGACAGAGGAGGTAGCACACCTGGGACCATGTGTATGAATGATCAGCGCTAATGTTTTTAGGCTTTTCTACACACAGAAAATGCCTGTTTGATCATTAAAATACATGCATAGTGACTCATAGGTAATATCTTTTGATTCGCCAGCATATATCCTTAATGCTATTTTTGTCTATTGTGGCAATACACTTGGTTGAGCTAGGTGCATAATAATCATAAAGATGGAGCCATTAAAATGTGTGTACACTATCTAAAAAATAGAGTCTTAGCAATAAAAAGCACTCTAAAGGTGGAACCGTGCTTTTTTATGACCCAACATAAACATAAGTCAGCAAATGGAATACACATTAAGGCTTGTAACAACCAAAAGGCAGACAACACTCAAGAGTGCTCTGCTATCCTAAAATGCTTCCGGATAATTTATCAAGCGGGGCAGTCTGGGGCTGCCAATTTCACATCACAGACAGATGCTTTTAAAGCTCGCTATACGCTCAACGTGGAGAGCAGGTTTCGCCAAGAAGTCTGGAGGCCAGAGACATTGAACTGAGTGCATCCTACATGTGGCATCTTAAATCCATGTTCCGCTGATCTCATGTTTAAAGAGAAGAGAGAGAAACACTAAATCACAGACCAACTGATTGTGCCAACTGGGCACAATCAAGATGCTGTTGACTGCGAAGGAGCTCTGACAGGTTTTAGGTCCAAAACTTTTTGTTTGTACTTCCGTGGCACCGATAACCATGCCTGAGACAAGCGCACCTTCATATTTTGTCAACTGCCATCAAAGTATTAGTTTGATGAGCCTGTGGAGGCCTCATTAAGGCTGACTTTTATCAATGTACAAGAAAGAAAGAAAAACAGTTGCTGCAAAACTAAAAGTTTTCTTTAATCTGGGTGCTCGCAGCATAACTTTGCATCTATTGTGGAGCGGTGCCAACAGCTTCACCTTATCTTTAGTCTAATTGGAACTGCCACATTTACCCAAAATGAGGCACAATAGGAAGGTTTGAGACGACGATAAAAGGACAAAGACGAAGATCTAAACACACTCTGGATCTGCTGATCATGGTTTTCAGGGAAGAGTGTGAGTGGCTCGCTGACTGATCTCAGATATGCCTCTGTGGACATGAAGAGTGCTAATGAACACAACCGAATAAGAGGAAAGCACTAGTAATTGGCACCGTGCTTTTGTGTTTTCCGCGACACCATAACAGTATGCCATGGAGCTGATTTGAAAGTATGGAATTGACAGGTTTTAAAGCTTTCAACTAATTAAGGTACAAAATCTTTACAGCGCCAAATATAGCTGACGTACACTACATCCACGAGCATGGGCGACAAGCTTTCAGCACTTCCTCTCATGGCATGGATCACACTTTTTTTTGCACAGCACACAGTTTATAGCTAATGATGCTGGATGTGAACTGGAGCATATTCCCCTCCTGGATCTTGTTATTAGGTCTTTTTATGATGGCCCGCCTCTTCCATCTTCTTGCATGTGGGCAAGGAAAACGTCCCCTACCGTTTGCTAATTGTTGCTTTCCGTGCTGGTAATATGTGCCTTTAACCCATGTGGATAATCATCAGAGCATAAATCACAGCCTCTCACATGCGCACGATGTAGACTCGTAAATGGAAGTTCATTGTTGTGCTCTTTGTGTAGCAAGATTTCCTTCTCGAGATGGTCCTGCCTTCGACCAGCCTCTGGATGAGCAGCGATTTCTAGGATCCCGGTCAGCCACGTCTTCTTAAAGAAAATCAAAACCGCAGTGTTGATTGGTCTAATGGATGGATAAAACAGCTGAGGGCTGTTTGACCATCTGAATACAGCTGATGGCTAACAAGGGGAAACTCGCACACAGCACAGAGCTGAGAATGTGACTGTTTGACCTTGTAGCTGACATCTGATTTCTTTTGAAATCTCTTCATGTAAGAAGAACCATCTGGTTACTTGGCCATGCTGTTTAATCTTTCAAATATTGTTTTCAGCAGTTCGAGGATTTTGGGGGAACTTTAAAAAAGCCAATTAAAACTAACTGGCAATGGTCCATCACAATGCACAGCACCAGAGCATCTTCTTGCCTCGTGACTCAAACAGCAGCCTTTTGATTTTTCTCTATGAATCATATAAACAAGCTGGCATCACTAGCTCACTTTGCTCACCTGTGTCACACTGTCCCTCATGGTTGGCGAGCGCTGTTTGCGGGTGGTGGTTGTGGCCATGGTGGTGGTTGTCTCCATGATTGTGGTGGACATATCAGCCAGCGGGGTGGTGGAGGTGGTGTCGGTAGTCAGCACCGAGGGCACGTCACCCACCAGCCTCAGGTTGCCCTGGGTCTGGACGTTGGGGTCGCCCTCGGCTGCTAGTTTGAGGACCTGCAGGCCGTTGTAGTACAGGCCTGAGATCTGGCCCTGGAAGTGGCGCCCTTTCTCTCCACCACCGATTTTGATGAACGCTTGGCTGTTGAAGATGGTCAGCTGGCGACCTAAAATGCGACAGGATGAAGGAGGAGAGAGAAGCGGAAAGAAGAGAGGTCATGAAAGAGGGGAAGGAAAGAAAGGGGCAAAGAATACAAATCAGGTCATGATCTTTAGGTGAGCTTCAACATAAAACACGGTGAATCGGAGGAGATAGGGGGAGTGTTTCAATCACAAGGGATTTCCTGGGTAACACTTTAGGGAGATTGGACCCTGGCTTGCTGCAGTTGCAGTCATTACGGAGCTAGTCACGTGGCACATTCCCAGAAAAGCACCCTGAATCTGGCAGTCAAATAGATTGCAGGAGCAGTCGCGGATTGACCCTGAGACTGAAGGTTCACAGCAAAACGCATCTCATTTGCCCTGAGATGGAATATATTAGAACAATGCTGGGTCTATGTCATTGACCTCCAATGCACATGAGCTGCACAATGATAAAGTATCTCTGCCAGAGTGAAAACCATCACCCTGCTTTGCCATCTAAAGGAGGAAAATGAGATTCTCATTGGAAGAAAATGTTTAATTCAGCAGGGGCTGTTCCTCTCTGTGGTCATTACCATTCATCTGGATGGATAGATGGATGAAGAGAGGACAAAGTCAACCGTTTAACCAGGGTCCAATACTAATGTGTCACCAGGTCTTGTGGTGTAGGGGCAGAGTGGGGGCAGTCTGACAGGTATAGTTTTTCTCCCTGTATTTTCTCCAACCGACATCCGTTTAGATTTTACTTTATTCACCTCCTCCCCTCCTCCCCCTCCGACAGGCATGCATCCCTACTGCGCCTGCTTATCCCCAACACTCAGACTGACACAATCTTTGACCCCTAGTGAGACTCACATGGACATCGGGGAATATTCAGATTAGAGGAAAACTGTTGGAAGGATGTGGGTTAAGAACAGTCCTTATGAGGTAATTACTCAGAGGAGAAGGATGGGAGAAGCTAAAGAGGTTTTTTATGGATTAATCAATCCCTGCAAGGAAAGGGAGTGTGTTTGTTCGTGAAAGGGATACTGCGCTAATGTGTGCATTTGGGAGTGAAATATTGACTCAGTAGACATGGTGGGCTACGAATCTTGGGCCTGAAGGGAGTGTGTTTATGAATGTGTTTGTACGCGTGCATGTACGCATATTTATTACGTCTTGTGCAGGTATGGGAGATTACTCCTCAGCGCTTCTGCTGGCACTCCTGCCCAAGTAATCTGCTCACAGTGACTTCCCTGCATGTGATTCAATTAAATAACAAATGCTCTGAATAACTTTCTGAATGCTTGTTTCATGGTTTCAATCAGACTGTAAGCTGGTGACAACTTTCTTCTCATCAGACGCTGGGGACAGGCTCAGGTCCCATTTGCTTTCAATTAGGAGAGCTGAGAGGGTTCTTCATCACTATAATTATAATTTACTCTTCATCTATATGGGTGTGTTGACCTGTTTATAAGATTCAGGTGTGCGGGAATATCAGAGGAATTATGTCAATGAATGCTTGTGTTGGTACGTAAATGTAAAACTGCATGTTTAATCTGTATGTAGACTCTACAGAAGTGCTGAAGACATAAATCTGTTTCCTCGATGAGGGCCATTACACACGTCAGCCTATTATCAGATCATTAGACCCACCAAGGTCCCACAAGGGACTGGGCTCCTGTCCCCTAACTCTATAATAATGAGACTTAATGTCTGGCATATGCGCTGTTGACATAATATCTGACTCTTATTCTCTTATATCATTACTTAGCATGTTTAGCGTGGGAGTGATGCTGCAATAAATAGAACAGGAAAGGATGAACAGACTGTTAAACTACGAACATCAGCCGGGAAAATACAGGAGAAAATACATGCACGTGTATACACAAAGATTCACTTTAAACATCAGGACTGAACACGCGCCCGCACACACACACACACACACGCTTGCACTAAAATTTTAGCCCACTTAATTAACCCCATCCCGCACATGTCCACAAATCAGCCCAGAAGGTCTCCATTGTAAACATAGAGGGTCATAGAGTGTGGACAAGTTGAAGACATGGTGTTTTTCTATTGTGTGTGATGTGAAACTCCAAGTCACAAGATGGTCTGTTCAGATAGGACAATTTACTCCACAGGAGTTAAGTGTAATGGTGGCAGAGTTACACTCTGAGCCAGGGACACAGTCATAAGTAAGCTATATTGACAAGCGGCTTATGATTATGATGTAGAGTAAGGAGGATTAGTAATACTTCCTAGAGTCACTGCACATGCATTCATGTATCATACATATTTCTTAAAATGTCCAAGCATCCGTTGGGTGACCTATTTAATGTCTCTCTGTGTAAAAGAAAAAAAAAGCCTTGAGCACATGAGAGTACTGTGACCATTTATGTGCTCATCCCATATGAGACAAAGAAAGCCAAGAAGAAAGGTGCCCTCTAGACTAGATGAAGGGAAATCAGTGTTTGTTTTTGTAGCTGTCTGCTCAGGATGAGACTCTAACAAGGCCTGATGAAGTTATTGTTTCAGGGTCTGCCGGGTCAAATCAAAAGTGACATGTGGTTTTAGAACCAATTTTGGCGGCAGGCGTAAGTGGGGCGGGGTGGAGGCGAGGAAAGATAGAAAGAGAAGCCTCTGCAATGACATGCAATCACGGAGCTTAATATGACAGAGCTGGCTGTGGCGCTGCTGCAGAGAAGAGGGTGTGTGTGCATGTATATAATAACTTATGAAATGTGTCAGTGAAACGACCTTTATGTGTGTGACAGTTGGCCTTTTCAAGTAGTGTCTATTTCCTCAACATTTATTTACATACACCTCTCCCTCTGTGTGTGCGCTTGTGTGTATTAGGCAGCAGCACAGCACACATGGGTTACACATTGATGAGGTTCTGTGTCACCAATTTCAATGTGTATGGATGTGTTTTGCCGCTCTCCACAGGAATTTTAAGGTGATGGGCATTTAATGGGCAGAGGCTTGACGATGGAAGCAGCTGGATAGGGGTGGCTGTAGGGTGGGGTGGTGGCATTAGAGGGGCTAAATGGATTGGGGTGTGTATGTGCGTGTTTGTGTGTTGGGACGAGGGGCTGACAGCCAGCCTTTCATTATAATGGGCATCCGCAGCCATACACAAAGCCTTAATTAACTGCAATGCAGAGACCAGAATGGTCAGACTTCTGTAATCAGCTACTGCAGAGACTGAGCGGAGTTCATACATCTATCCCTCTATCTGTTTATATACCCATATGTCTGAAAATAATTGATTTTTTAAAGATTTTAAAGTGTGAGAATTACGAGCAAAAATAATAAACGGCTATGCATATTCAACATGAGTGCAGTGTATATACATTTAGCGACAAAGATGTCTCTAAATGTAATGGATGCTAATGGATGCTAACATGTTGATGTTAAGTAGGAAAATGCTTTGCCTGACAGACTCACAGTTACAATCCCAATATATTCCCATTCTAAAACGCTAAACTTCACAGCATTAAAAAGCTACAGCTTAACAGGTGTAGGCTATTTAACTGTACCTCTCAACAATGTTTGTAGCGTTGGTGCTTTTTAAAGCATTTTTATTGAAATTAAAGTCCAAGAGGTTTGTCCTTCAGTTTTGTTAGTGAATCGCTAGTATTAACATGTTAGCTAACACTAATAAACTACATGTGCCATTTCAGTTCTCCAAAATCTGAAGGTTAAAATCCAGTCCAAATTGGATGTACAGTCTCTGGTTTGCTAGCATGCTAGCTATTGGTAGATAACAGGAAACAAGGTATAGCTGAAGGTGAAAGACTGTCTCAAACCATTATGTATTATTTCATGCCTGATTATACTGCTAAACTTCACAGCCTGGAATAAGGATCAAAATTCTTATAATTCTTAGAATATCAAAGGAACACATCTAAGGCAACAGGGTATTCATCTGATAATTGTGATCTCAGGCAAAAATGATGGACCAACAAACACTGTCATCTAATGAGCCACCCTACCAGGATGTCTAAAAGCACACATTACTATTAAAGCTACAGTCGTTCAGTACCAATTGAACATGGAAATTGATTTTAATGATCAGTTTTCACACCACCAGAGCAGAAAAATCTGCACAACCATCCACCTTCTTCAGCTATGTTCAACCTGATACCTACAAATAGCTGCCAAGGTAGTCTTAGCTACGTAGCTTTATGTGCAGCTATAAAAAAAAACCCCTTTATTTCTTGTAAATGCAGATGGTGCCTTATTAAGAAATGCAAACTGAGAGAGCAGACCAGTTTGGGCCTGTTTTTAGCGTATTCTCTCAGTGTCACTCTGAGAGACGTGAGATGTAATTCTTTCCTTCACTACATACCTGTATTTAGCGTAAATAATGGCCCTTAGATTTAAATCCATAGGCTATGTATCTAATGAACAAATAGGGGAATACAGACTAAAGACATGTTGCATACCAACAAAAAAGCTGTTGGTGATGAAGTGATATGGATAGAAATATGCTGCTGGAAAGCAACATGATCTAGGAGCCTTATTATAGCAGTTACATACATACAATATATATATCGTATACCATACAGGTATATCGTGATTACATGTGAATCCCAAGGCAGTTAGCCATTGAGATTGTTGAGATGTGTATATCTTTTTTCCCCATTTCTAAGGGCAGCATCATTAGCATCCATTATAAGCAACAATCACAACCCCCTACATCCTGTCTTAGCCGATAGGTAATCAATATGACAGGAGATGTGGACTCCCTGCTATAGTACACTTTACCCCGGCCTGCAATATTATCACAGGGCTTTTCCTCAGCAGTGTCTTCAAACCAAGCATATATATTTTAATAAAACAAAATGAAATGCTTGAAGTAAATTAGCATTATAAAAATCCATACATGTATAATTTACTTTCTTTTAATGCTGGCCACAGTGAAACTCCTGAGTAATCTACCCAAGCCTGGAGAAAAAGAGATGATAAAGAAAGGTTGGACAGAGTCTTGGAGAATAGGGACATAAGAGATGACAGAAGCGAGGGAGGATGACAGACGAGG